AAATTTAGGTAATTTTTTTTATTTATTTTTTTTTTTTTTTTTTTTTTTGACATCAACAATACAGACTCATGTAGACTCTGTAAACCAGACTGGTAGCTCTGTATCCATGTGAACAACGAAATGCGGTTGGATCCTGGCTCTTCTTGCTAGGCTATCCGCTTGAGAATTCATTGCTCTTGGTACATGGATTAACATCGAGCTGGTAAAACTTTCCTTCAGTAGCTTCACATCCTGGAGATAACTTGCAAAGGCTGGCCATTCGTCTGGCTCTGAAACCATCTTCACCAACTGAGAACAGTCCGTTGCAAAAGTAACACAATATTGTCTTAAATTACGCATATTCTCCATAGCCCAAATGAGTGCTTCCATCTCCGAGTGGAGTGGTGATAAACTAGCTCGCACATTCCTTGCACCCCGTAAACCTTCGAAACCCTCCAAAGTGCTATACCAACCTTGCCCATCAAATTGATCATTTGCTTTCCATGAACAATCGAGAAAACACCATCTTCCTGGAATGTTTGGTAAAGTGGCATCCGACTGGTGTGAATTAAAACTCCGCTCTGACGGTAACTGTGCCTCGCTCCACAGAATCGATTCTGTTTCTGCCAACTTTAGTGTCTCATTCGGGTCAATATCCAAATTACTGAAAATTTTACTATTCCTTGCTTTCCAAATATACCACAAAATCCATGCAAACTGATGGTCTTCCATCTTGGGATTAACCCTCCAGAATAAAAAATCCATATTTGTAAACAACGAATCCTTAGGAAATCTATCTGGGTGAAAAGGTATTTTCGAGAGAGCCCAAATCTGTCGTGCTGGAGGACATTCAAAAAAAACATGATTAATTGTTTCCTCATTAGCCCCACACCTGTCACATCCAACATCTCCTTTAATTCCTCTGGCCTGAAGATTTGTTCGAACTGCAATACAGCCCGATAATAATTGCCACAAGAAATGTTTCAGTTTAGGAGGACACCTAATTTTCCAACAAAACGCTTTCAAAACATCTACTGTAGGCCCATAAACTTCATTTGGTCTTCCTTTATCTGGGTAGACTCGTTCAACCTGATAACCCGACTAGACCGAATATTTTCCATTTTTGGTAAAATGCCATCCATCCCTATCTGCCAATTGTGTTCCGCCCAAAGGTATACTCTCAATTATTTTCACATCATGTGGGTCCACCAGAGCCCTAATGAGTGGCATATTCCAGGTCCTTGTGTCTGTATTGATGAGAGAATCCACTGTTATATCCAGAGAAGAAGAAAGAGAAAATTGTTTTTTATTGGCTGGTCTCGGGCGAGTGGTTGGGAGCCAAGGGTCATTCCATACTGAGATAGAAGATCCCGATCCCACCCGTTTAATTAGTCCTTTGCTAACCAGAGATCTAGCAGAGCACATACTACGCCATCCATATGGGTGACGCATTCCTGTAATACCTACCCTTAAAAACCCGAGAGAACAAAGATTTTGGTTTCTCAATGAGACGCCATAACTGTTTGCCCAACATTGCCGAATTAAAGTCTTCCAGACTCTTAAAACCTAAGCCACCGTCCTCTTTATCACGACATAACTTCTCCCATGATTTCCAATGCATACCTCTTGTATTCCCCCAGGGCTCCACCAAAATTGTGCTACAGCCCCAGTGAGTTTTTTTTGCGGTAGCCTTAGGCAGCCTATAACATGACATCACATGATTTGGTAATGCTGTTACCACCGATTTGATGACCACTTCCTTTCCACCTTTTGTGAAAAAGCGGAACGTCCAACCTGTCACCCTCTTATTTAATCTAGATTGCACAAAACCAAATACTTGGATCTTTGATCCACTTAAATTCTCTGGGAGACCCAGATATGATCCCATTCCTCCGATATTCTGGATGCCAAGAATGTCCCGTAACTCCTGTCGCTTTACCTCTCCAATCTTATGCCCAAACTGAATGGATGATTTTTGAAAATTAATTAGTTGACCTGAGGCTATCTCATACTCTTTAAGTATATTGAGGATAGTTTGACATTCCTCCGGGCTTGCCTTACAGAAAAACAAACTATCATCCACAAAAAGTAAATGGGAAATAGCCGGGCAGGCCCTTGCCACCTTCATCCCAGATAATAGTTTCAATCGTTCCGCCTTTTTGATATTTGATATCAAAGCTTCTGTACACATTATAAATAGATACGGAGATAAAGGATCCCCTTGTCGTAAACCTCTCTGCGGAATAATACGCCCTCTAGGCTGCCCATTAATCAAGACCTGATACTGAACGGAAGATATACATGTCATCATAAGTTGTGTCCAGCGCCCATCAAATCCCATTTTAGTAAGTAGAGCTTGAATAAATGCCCATTCCACCCGATCATACGCTTTGCTCATATCCGTTTTGATTGCCATAAACTTCCCCTGACATGATTTATTCGCTCTCAATCCATGAAACATTTCCTGAGCTATTAAGATATTATCCGAGATCAGCCGTCCTGGTACAAAAGCCGATTGGGTTTCCGAGATCAACCGTGGTAAACAAGTTTTTAGCCGTTGACATAAAACTTTGGAAATGATCTTATAACCCACATTGCACAGGCTAATGGGTCGAAACTCCGTCATTCTCGTGGGCCTATCAGTCTTTGGTATCATACAGATATGAGTCTCATTTAATTGGTCTTCCAAAATCCCAGAGTCCAAGAACTTGTTTACCATATTCACCAAATCCAGCTTAATTACATTCCAAGAGTGCTCGAAAAAAAGCGCTGTCATTCCATCAGGTCCTGGTGCTTTCGCTGGATGCATCATAAAAAGAGCTTGTCGGACCTCTTCCTCTGTTGCCCGCCGTAGTAGTCGAGCATTCATCTGCGGTGTTATGTTTGAAGGAATCTCGGCCAGGAAATCCTCAAACTCCGATGGGGTAGTTGATGTAAAAAGATTAGCAAAATAATTGACTGCCACGTTTTCCACCCCAAGCTCCTCAGTTATCCAATTGTCAGCTTCGTCATTTAAGCCCACGATCCTGTTGCGCACTCTCCTCTGTTTCGTTAATGCATGATAAAATTCGGTATTCAGGTCTCCCGAGGAATACCACATGTTCCGACTTTTTTGATACCAGTATTCTTCTTCATCCTTATATGCATCCTGCAATTTCCGTGACACTTCCAAAATATCCTCCTGAGTCCTTGTATCATCTGTTTGGACCTCTTCCAATGCCCGTTGGAGATCTTTTATTTTTTCCTTTCCATATGGGGGATTATTTTTCCTCCACCGCGCAATCTCATGGCGACAATTTGAAAATTTATTAACCAGACTACCACCATCCGTACCACTATCCTGCATCCAACCCATCTCTATCGTTTCCATCAAACCATCCTGTCCAATCCATCTTTTGTCAAATTTAAATTGCCCTTTCCTTCTTTGAATTTTGTTATCCATATAAGCCACGATCGGACGATGATCCGATCCCACCATCCCCAAATATTCTGTATGAGAGCATGGAAACACAGTACTCCAATCTTCATTTGCTAAAGCTCTATCTAACCGGCACCGTATCATCACCGCTCCTTTCCCTTTCCCCCGACGTCCTTGCCATGACATTTTATTGCCACTGGCCGGGAATTCCAGTAAACCACTATTACGAATCATATTGTTAAAAGGAAGAAAAGAAGATAGGTTCCTCGGAGCGCCCCCTTCCTTTTCATGATTGCTGGTAATTTCATTTAGGTCTCCAATGATAAACCAAGGATCCGATCGTGCTAGACCATATCGAGTTAATCGTTCCCATACTTGCTCTCGTAACTCCGAGACTGGATCTCCATAAACAAAAGTGAGAAAGACTTGTTTGCCTACTGCCACTGCTTCCACATCAATCATGCGATTGCTGGAATATAAAATATTAACCTCATACTCGTTATTATAGAAGAGAGCTAAACCACCACTCCTTCCCACCGGATCTACCGTAACCAGTTTATCATATCCAAAATGAGTTTGAAAACCTTGTACGAACTCCAACTCCTGTTTTGTCTCTGAAAGAAACAGAAAATCCGGTTTATGCTTGTGCCATATTTCCCTTAAGTAACTAATTGTCCATTTACTCCCCATTCCTCTGCAGTTCCAGCTTAATATTCGCATAAATAAAATTTCAATGGGACTCATATGAGCCAGACAAATCAGGTGTAATGAGACCCTCTTTGTAAGCCAACCATTTCTCCAAAAATTGTATCATTAAAATCTGATACTGATTCCAGTATTTCCAACTTTTTACACCCGTGCTCCTAGTGATACTAGTAATTGTTTTATGAGGAAACACATACTCAGAGACAATATTATTTTGGGATGTGCGACTTCGTTGGGACTTCTGTTTCTTACCATTCTTGAGAGTTCTCGCAACCCCCTTCTTCCCCTTTGGAATCCAGGTTATGGGCCTCCCCTTCCATCCAGAACAGTAGCCCAAGATCCTATCAAAAAACCAACTAACCCTCTTTCCCTACAGCAGCCCTTCCCGAAAATCCTTGTTACGCCCATGTAACAAACCATTATCTCTCCCTCTCCCCTTAAGCTCCAAGGATTGGTTTAAAGAGACCACATCCCCCTCTTGTATAATAGTAATCCTTATGACCATAGACAAAGCAACACAGGCAATATGATCTCCCGAACTCAGACTTCTCAATTCGCCCTATATGATTCTGTTTTCCTCATGTACATTAAGAATGCCAAGAAATACTCCAATACTATTGCAGACTTGAAAAAAATTCTCTAACAGCCACCTAGACCAAAGAGACCAAAGTAAACAACCAATTTTATTCCATGTCACAAACTTAGAACAAACAACGACTACCCAATAAACCTCATGACAATAGCCTTCCAAATCAAGAAAAAACACAACCAAACTCAAAGCCAAAATCAAAAACAAAATAGAACAACTGCTGAAACTTAAAACAACAATGATAAGCAAAAACCCTTGTTTCTCAACCATTCCATACTGGATGTCTTCGTAGGAGCTGTGAACCATAACTTAAGTTTTTGAGTTTGCGGCCTTCGGTATTGGGATCCCTTTCCCATCGAGAGTCTTAAGCTCCCCTTGTTTAGCTCCACCTTTGTTCATGTTACGCTTCCGTGGAGAGAGTAAGGCTGTGGCTGTACGCATTTTGTTGCTGCCAAAGGTGTTGATGGCCGGTTTTACCAACCTCCGACGAGTCCCTTGGTTCTTATCCTGTTCTCCTCCTACCCCCTCCATTGTCTCAACCGCAGTTTTCTGTTCCTCCGTTGCCCGATGAATCTCTGACTCGGCCATCTCTTCCTCCTCCTGTTCCTTAATCATTTTTTCAAAATCATCCTCCGGGTTTTCTTTTAAAAACTCCTCTGAGTCCATATCTATCCCCTTTTGTAATAAACATGCTCGGATTTCCTCCATGTCCATCACATCTTCTTCTCCCAACATATTCTTCTTTTCAACCAGGTTCGAAACCAGTTGCAACCCATTAAATTCATCTATGGGATCTGAAATTACCTCCATTCCCGTGGCTTGAGTATTGTCAAGCTCCATCTGAAACTCCAGAGATGGTTGCTGGTTTTCCCCATTCGTTTTTATCTCTCCTTCCTCTGCACCTTCAGCTTTGTTATCCCCTGGTCCTTGTGACAAATCACTCTCTTTTTGGGATCTTTCTCCTTTCTCCTTTACTCTGGTTTCGTCTGTTGTTGAGTGTCTCACTCTAGACCCCTCCCCCTCACCTCTGTAACTGTTACGATGATGATACTGTTTTTTGTATCCCCTCTCCTCTATCTTCCGCCATCTTGTGTCCACCTCGTCCACTATCTTTCCCTTACCTCTGCCATGGTATTCCCTACTGTCCCTAACCTGACCATATTTGTGTCCTGTGCCACTTCCGTGTGCTACAACTCCCTTGTAGCTTCTGGCCTGGTCATCATGCTTCCCATCCTCATTTCTTCCCGCGTCTCCAGCCCTTATACCTCTCCTCATCGGACTCTTCTTCGGGCTTCGCTCAACCAAAGGACAAACATCCACCTTGTGACAAAGACTGAAACAATTAAGGCAATAGCCAAATAGTTTCTCATATCTCAGTCTTACAAGTGCCTCCACTCCCTCATAAAACTGACCCCCTTTAAACTCCACCGTAGTATCAAAACTAATCTCTTTAAAACCATCCACCACAACCTGAATACGTTTGTTATCCAAGTCCACCTTAGTAGTCCTGCCAATCGCGTTGCCAATGCTCTCATACGTAGGATCTGTTCTGAAATCCATTGGCACCCCTTCCACCTTCACCCAAAACGGTATCTCCGATGGGAATTGCTGTGATTTTTTTGGTTGCCACCGGGCCAGAGCAATCATCCAGTAATCAAAATGAAATGGCTGAAGGTTGAGTACCATTTCAATGTCCTCCTCAGATTGAAAATCAAACTGAAAAAGCCCAGTACCCAAATCCGATCCCACAACCCGATTCTCCAAGTTCCAAATCTTCGGAAGCTTCATGAGAAGAGCCGCCATGTCTTGCTCAAGAGGATTCATGCAGCGACCAATCAGTGATCTTGAGTAAGCCTTAATGACCGCTGAGTTGTCGAAATGAGGCACCGTAATCCTGAGTCTCTTCCTTGCTCCTTCACCATTCTTCCCCTCTCTGGAAACTCCAATCAGCTGACCTTGCATCATAGTAATTCGAATTAGTGAACTCTCTTGTACTAGACAAATGAAAAAGAAACCAGAAGACAAGAGAAAAGTGTGAGAAAACTTTTGCCCCTTTGTACAGAATTTATATTGAAACTCAAAATATCTCTGTGAATCCCCTAATCGTTTGCCATTACTGGATACCATAAAGATATCATATTTTAATATTTATATATATTTTCTTTATAAATAAAACAAATTTATATGAATATATCATATTTTTAGTAAATAAGATATTCTTGTGAATTATGTTGTTATCTTTAAATATATTTTTTATATATAGAACTTAAATTTTAAATTAAGATATAAAAACTATTATATTTATCTAAAACGAATTTATATTAATAATTTAATATTTAAAATATAACTAAAACGAATGTATATTAATATTTTAATATTTTTCTAAAATAAGATAATCATTATGTATTATGTTGTTATGTTTAAAATATATTTTCCTATTATAAAACTTAAAATTAAGATATAAAAATTATATTATTAATAATTAAATATAATTTTATAATTGATGTTTGATGATTTGTCATATTTTCCATAGTTTTAGTTAATTGTGGTATCATAATTTCTATATTTTTATATATAATTTATTATATATTTAAAACAAATTTATATTAATAGTATCATATTTTTAGAAAATAAGCTACTTCTTATATATTAAGTCGATGTCTTGAAAAGATAATTTTCTATAATTGAAATAAATTTACACTAATAATATTATACTTTTATAAAATATGGTAATTCTTATGTATTATGTTGTTATCTTGAAAATATATTTTTAGATTATATAATTTAAAAGTAAAATAGAAAAAATATCTATTATTAATTAAATATAAATCATCACTCAAGAAAAAAATATTTAAGAAGTGAATTTGCTCATTAAGTTCTCCATGATTTTAGGTAATTTTAGTTATATGTCATAATTTATATAATCTTATATAATTATTATATAATTAAAATAAACTTGTCATATTATATTTTTAGAAAATAAATAACTTATGCAATATATTGTCATATTATATTTGTATATAATGTGTTTTCATAAAAAAAAGTTCATACAAATAATCTTGATATTAGAAAAAGAAATATTTTTTCTTAAAAAAGATAATTTAAACAATAAAAAATATATTTTCAAAGTAATTAGTTTTTGTATTTATCAATCTATTTTATTAGATGATTACATAAAATAATTAAGTAACATAAATTGATATATGTTTAATTGACAAAAAAACTTATAATTAGTATATTTATTTGATTATAATATCTTAAAGTTACAGCAAAAAATATAATTTATATTTTACTTATATAATATAATTTCTCAAAAACAATCACATTTTTACTGCATATTTTAAGAAATATTAAAAAAACTAAAAATAAATTTAATAATAAACATCTTTTGATCAAATAACTACATTTCTTTTAAAATATCATAACACTATATAATTTAACGAGGTAGATATATTAACTCTTTTGATGTTTAATTTTCTGTTTTATGTTTGTGGAATTTAATATAACCATAATCAAAATAATTACGCAAATCATAATTCTTTATTTTTAAAATTATTTAAAATAAATTTCAGTTTACCATCCAATCAATCTAAGGCATAAAATATTTAAAATTTATAAAATATTTAATTATTGTAAATATTGATATCTGTTCATAAGTTTCCAAAAATTTATTATTACTTATGTATGTAATTTAGAATCAGACACTTTACTTTTTATTTTTTCGTTCTAAGCACAAAAAATCTTAAAATACATAATTTTACTAAGATATACTTATATTTCTAAAATAACAACCAACATAAATGTAAATAAAACAATTAATCAAAAACTTAAAATATTTAGAATAAAAAAAAATTATAATTGAATTCAGAGAAATATATATAATCCAATATATATATCCAAATGATAAAACTAACTAAATATAATATATCTAATAATATATATTACTAAAATAATATAATATTATTAATATAAATTATACATTAAAGCTATGAATTAATATAAAATTTAAAGTAAATATCAATAAACATTATAATATATTTATTTTATAAATATTTATGCCCGTGCATGAGCACGTGAAAATCACCTAGTTAGTATTTAATTAAGAAATTCTGAATTTTATGGAGAACATTACTTAAAATATCTCTGCAAAAATAATTTGGATTATTTTTTTCCTAAAATTTAGAATCTTACAATTAAATATATATATATATATATATATATATATATATATATAAGTATTTGGAGAATTCCGGATATAAAACTCTCCATGTTCTTAAACGTTGCAAAAAAATAATTGTAAATCATAGTGGAGAAAGAGTAGAAATTCTATGGTAAAGAAGCCGCACTATGAAAATCAAGAAGTAACAAAAACATATAAGATCTCACACATTCTGGCTGCTTTCATGCCGAATGTATGAATTATTTTGTTTGATACGATTAATCATGTTTGGTAAGAAAAAGTTTGTGTTATCGGTCATCCACGCAGTGAACAGCTTAAACTCAAAATTCATTGATTTAGTTTACTCGATAATCTGCAACTTCTTACATTTGCAAACTTTGATATAAATCTTTTAAACTGTTTTAAACAGTTCAAATTAAATATTACTTCTTATATTTCATTATGTATGATGTTCAGAATTGTTTTTGTTCTTTTACAATAAGATGTGTTTTAATATATATATATATATATATATATATATAAGGGCAATTTTAACTTTATCAAAACTATATAGCTAATTTTTTTTTTACTCTTTTATTTATAATTAAAATAAATTAATTTTTAAATATATTATAGAACAAATAACTTTCTTAATATTTGTATATTGAAGCAAAACATCATACATAACATAAAGAATAATATTTTGGTAAAAGAGTGTGAAAGACTTCCAATGTATGTGTCCTAATGGCCTATTAACAACTTGTTTAACGCCCACATGGGAGGTGGTGACGATTGTAATCATAACTATATCAAAGAAATAAGATGTTTGAAGTCGGCATAATTCTTTATTCGGTAATTATGGTTCTCCTTTTTATCTTTTTTTGTGAAAAAGATATCTCAAAAAGAAACTAATTAAGTTTGTGCCTACTGATCAATCAGAGAGAATAATATCTCTACTTTCATTCGAAAGATACACTTGGGAGAGGAAGAAACAAAAGAAGCTTCGAACTAATATAATTAAATGAAAAAAGTGCATATAACAAAGACCAAAAAGAAGGGGAAAAGCAAGAGTGAATGCCTTTGAACCGCTAAAACTCTGAGACGGACCAACTTTAAGGTTGGAAAGTTGATGAAAACAGCCTGTGGGGTGTTACAAATGTATGATAGTGGCATCTGATTTCTTATAAATCGATTATTCCATGAAGTTCTAACGGAACAGTAATATTTTTTTCTATGATTATGTAAATGAGACACTATGAGTAATGTATTACGCACTAAAACTGAAATGTGCTTTAAAACTAAACCACATTCTAGAATTTATAAATGAATCCATTATAGTTAAAACACAAATACATCTATATACATTCACAGAATCGCACCATTTGTTGCTATGATCCAACACTTATATCACATGACTTTTTTCTTTCTTTCAAACTAAGCTTGCTAGTGAGACGGCAGTTAAATTCCACTTGAATTATGATTAAGTTGTATATACCTACGCATAACTTACAGTAGTGCCATGAGTCACTGACGCCACACTATCGTTTTATATCGATACCGCCTGAGTCACTGACGCCACATTATCGTTTTATATCGATAGCGCCCGAGTCCTACATTTAGTCTATTACGTAATATAGTACTAGATGATAAT